GGCCTGAAACCAGTAAACTGTTGCAGCAAGTCCAAATACTAAGCACGCGTCATAGATCTCATATACTGAGGCAGTGCAACGGCCAGTCCATCAGCAGGCAGCCCAAATAAAACCTAAACATCCTGAAGCGTGATGGTGGCCTCGCCAATGGGCAGGTGAAAAGGGTGTGTCTCTGATCGCCACCGCTCTATCATCGCCGTGATCAGAGACCAGTCAAGCTGCAGCCGCCCAATCTCAAAAATCCTATAGAAGTCTGTATCACGCAGGCGCTAGACTACGTGAGGATCGAAAGCTCTCTCCCTCTTAAAGTCCCACACGTCGTCCACTCTCCTGGCGGGGAGAGTCTGCTTCACTCTCTCTCTCTCTCCCATACATAGGCGGACCTATGATCGCCCTGTAACATTAATATCTTATCCGAGAAAGGTCCAGGATGCACAGGCGGTACGTCCATGTCGTCTACCGTAAATTAAACAATATTAATTGTGTGTTGGTGTTATAATAATTAATATTTAATTACTTTATTGGACACAGTATATATCTATGGGTTCCAGGCTCGATATTTGAGGCCAGTAGCACCAAGCTATCCTGAATTCTTTTGTGTGTCAATTTTAATATTTTTACAATTTTGTTTGTCTTATAATAATTAATATTTAATTATTTAATTGGACAGATTATATATCTATGGGTTCCAGGCTCGATATTCGAGGCTCAGCAGCACCTAGCTATCCTTAATTCATATGTGTGTCAATTTCAATATTTTTACAATTTTATTTGTGTTATAATAATCAATATTTAATTATTTAATTGGACAGATTATATATCTATGGGTTCCAGGATCGATATTTGAGGCCTAGTAGCACCAAGCTATCCTGAATTCTAATGTGTGTGAATTTCAATATTTTTACAATTTTGTTAGTTTTATAAATTAAATAATTAGTATTTAATTGGACAAAGTATATATATCTATGAGTTCCACGCTGGATATATAATTTGACGGCATATATTAATTTGTTAGTTCAGTGTGTTTGTTTTATAAATTAAATAATTAATTTTTCTAAAGTATAATTGGATAGAGTTTGTAGTTAGGAGGTACTTAAACTACAGAGATTCTACTCTAACGGTGTGTTTGGTGTGAAGGAAAATATTTTCCGGAAAATGTTTTCCAATTTTCCCATGTTTGGTTGGCTTAAATATTTTGGAAAACATTTTCCTTATCAACTCATTTTCCTTCAATCCGAGGAAAATATTTTCCTTATCAAGAGAAGGGAAAACATTTTCCAAAACTGCTTCTCAACCTTCCCCACCCTATCCCCCTACCCACCCCCCACACCCTCCACACCCAAACCCCACCCCACCTCTCTCTCCAAAAGGATTTTTTTTCAAAATTTCAGTTTTTTTCCGTCACCACCCACCCTGCTATCCCCGCCAAACCCTACCCTCACCCCCACCCCCACTAAAAAAGTTTTTTTTATTTTATTTGTAATTTTCAATTTCTGTTTTTCGTTTTCTACCACCCCCCCCCCCCCCCGCGGAAAAAAAAGATATTTTACTTTTTTTTAATTTCAAATTTCTATTTTTTATTTTTCTGCCACATACCCCCTGCCCCTGCCCTCCCCCCCCCCCCCAGAAAAAATATTTTTTTAATATATATTTTTAATTTTAATTTTTTCATCTGTCAGCTTACAGGTTCGAAATTTTACAAGTTCCAAAGTTATGAGTTTAGAGGTTTATGTGTTTGAAAGTTTACGGGTTTAGAAAATATAAAGTTTACGGGTTCGAAAGTTCGTGGTTTTTACGTAAAAAAAGTAAAGCAACACTTTAGTTGCTTTGGGTTGTGTCAATTTTTAGAGACTTGGGGAAGGGGGGCGAGGGGGAGGGGTGGGGGGGGAGGGGGGAGGGGGAGGGGGAGGGGGAGGAGAGTTGTATAAAAAATATTTTCCTAAAAAAAATATTTTCTACTCTCTAACCAAACAATAGAAAATATTTTCCGGAAAATGTTTTTCACTCACCAACCAAACAAGGGAAAATAAGTGATAAAACCACTCATTTTCCATGGAAAACATTTTCCTTCATACAAAACACACCCTAAAAGGCTCTATATTTTACTATGCTAAAAGGCTCTATATTTTACTACGCTATAAGGCTCTATATTTTACTACGCTAAAAAGGCACTATTCTTTAAGAAAATAAATAATCTAAACTAAATAAAAACAACAAACATATTTTAATAACATGACATTCACGAAATTACATATAAAACAGTAAAAGAAATTTATGAACATTTTTATTAACAAGAAAATTTATTTCTCAACTTTTAACTATATTTTTAAACACTAATAATTTAATCTAGATAAAAATAACATACAAATTTAATTGCAAACAAAACACAAAACAACGTGGAAACACATTCAGGACAACAAATATGCATTATTATACGATTTTCGACATAAACTAAATCGGAATACCTCGATTTATGTTTTTTGAAATGTCGAAAATTTAAAATTTTGATCCCGAAATAAGGAAACCACAATAATTGAAGGCTTGGGTTGTATGCGGGACCTACAATCTTTACTTTTTGTGTGACGGGTGGGGTCCACTCGATTTTTTTTTTAAATCGGGGGTAGGGGGGGGGGGGTAGGACCGCTGGAAAGTGGTTGGTTTTTTTAATTGAAACCTTCTGTTTTCTGTCGTGGGGAAGAAGGATAGTTATATTTTAAAAGGCAAAACGCAGTATAATACTGCGCTTTCCTACAATGTAGTATTATACTGTGTTTTCCTAAAATGCAGTATTATACTGCGTTTTACTTTAACGGCTAAATTTTCGTTAAAAAAAACACAGTATAATACTACGTTTTAGTTAGAAAGGTAATATTTTTTTAACTGTATAAAAATATTTTGAGTCTCAAAACTAATTATTTAGGTTTCGGACTCATATATACTTTGTTTATTGCGGAATATCAACATCCTTGGTGGGACACCCAAAGCTTGTTGAGTTTTGCTGCTTGAGAATAACTGATTTTTATATGCTTAAAGATCCCAAGCAATTCAACGAAAAATAATTTTGCCGTATGTTCTGAAAAGGTTACCATAAAAAAGAGAGTAAATTTCATAGAATGTGACATATTATGTTTTCTTTTTCCAACCAAAGTCACACAATTTTGTTTTATAACAAAATATCACAACACTTTTACTATACTAACACAAAAGTCACAATGCGAAAACACAACCTTATGATGCCCCGATACTTTTTTATTTCGTATTTGAACTCAGTTTATTTTAATTAATCTAATAAATGACTACTCCGTTAAAAAAGGATCCGATTGATCTTAACAAAACCAATCTCTAGGTCTCTACTACTCTAAATCAGTTTGTTTTCTTTGTTTGGTCATATTTACTATTCTAAGATGCCTTTACCAAGAATAAAATTTTATGTTTGTTTATGTAATATAACAATGAAATGAATGCAAATTTATTTAATTACATAGTTTTTAAAATTAACAATTTGCTTGGCATATCTTGTTGCATAAAGCATGACTGAACTATTTTCAAATTGTCATAACCTACATAGATAAGAAAAAAAAAATGTGATATATCTCCCTCTCACTTAAGGAATATACTAGATGAAAGATCACTTCGCCTAATATTCAATGACATAGTATTTATTTTAGGGAAACTTATACAAATGTCCTAAATAAGTTTCAACTTATCAACCTCTAGCCATTAGTCATAAACTTACCAAACTAGGCATGCACATATAAAAGTTGAAAAACCAAATAAATAAGGTTTTTTTTCCTCAAAGAATTACATGCAACAATCTCCTTACATATTTTTAAGCGTGATTAGCAATATTAAATGCACGACGGAAAGAAAATTTCATGGATGAGGTAGCAAATAAGGTGATGAAATACAAAAAAAAATATAATATTCCAAAAATCTAAGCAAAAAAGGAACTTTTTCAATGGGTATAGTTGAAATTCATTGAAAACCTATAGATAAGTCAATATACAAAATTTGAGGAAGATTGGAAAATCAAAATTCGTAATTAAACCGAGTTCAAAAGATTCTTCCGCGACACATTTATATTAAAAATGTATCTCACACACTGGTATAATGGATATACATATGATACACAATTGATACAAATATGGTACATATGTGATACACAAATGATACACGGTGTGGTATACATATTTTGTTTTTCATGTTCAGTTTTTACTTCGAATTTTCAATTCAACCAACTCAAAGCTTCACCAAATCATCTTAAGATGTACCCAATCTAGTCTACAACACCCACTCAAAAGAAAGCAAAAATTTGACTTTTTTTTGCTACAAATAGCTAATTGGCTAATATTAGTAATATTTGGCTAATAATAGTAATATTTTATGAATTAACCAATTTTTGTAATAAGCTACTTATAAATGAACATAGCAAGTAGTTTTCTTTTATTTTATCAAATATTATTTGGTAAAGCCATACAATATATTAATTACCTGTCACAAATGAAAAAAAAAAATAGAAAAGTGGTTTAAAATGTCGGTCAATTTTTATTAGATTAAAAAGAAAAAGTAGGTTAAATGACTTAGTAGGAACAAATTTATATTTTCATATGTTTCTACTTCTGATTTCTTGCTTAATCTCACGCGTGGAATACTGCTACCCAAATTTTATTTTATTTTAGGATTTGTCTTTGGAGATTGGAAAGCTACTTAGAGTTCTTTTTCTCATACGGTATGATTTTATATGTGAATTCCTTTTGGTCTGAACTGAATTCTTTCTCGGGTAATATTTAAAACCTAAGATAGGATGGCAATGTAACCAACTACTATGTGTATATATATTTTGAGTATTTGTTACTTAAACGAGCTGCTTGAGTATGACATCAAATAATATATAGTATAGGGAATTAATTTATTAATAACTGAGACGTTAATGCAAAATACCAGTACAAGTACGACCAAAGCTTACTTATTTTTCATTTATTAATAACTGAGACGTTGATGCAAATAAGAGTAGCTTAAGTGAAAATCATTTCCTAATACTAGGCTAAACATACATGTCATTTATTTGTTAGAACCAGGACCCCCAAAAAAGACCGCATGCCCAAATTCCTTATTGGTAATTGGTTTATTAGCAACCCGGTATAGGGAGTGGGCATCTTCAAAACTTGATACCGCGGGATCCCGAGTGTTGCCAACAGAATCAAGAATTGAAATTTTGCTACAAAATGCATCTTTCTCGGTATCTACAAATTTAGGAAAACGACCAGAACCCATTGGAGGGAAAGTAGGGACTGAACTAAATGCCTCTCCACCCCATGAAGCCTGTGATGCAAAACCCTTTAATCCCGTAAAAAGCTCTGGAGGCCAAAAACCAATTTGTGTGAAATCATGAACGGAGCCACCATCTTCCATTTTTCAAATCCTGCGTATAAAAAAATGATTATGTATGCTCTTAGTTACTTTTCAGTTGAGATGAAATTTCAATATGGTATTAATCTAACCCTTTGAATGAAGAATGTCTCTTGGAATTTGCGTCCAGGTGGGGGATTTGGAAATACCATGTCCAAAGGTATTTGCGTATTTACAATTACGAATCCAGGGCAACGTGTGTTGAAGCACTGAGTTGTGCCTGCCTATGTCATAATGTAACAAATTTAATAACCTTGAGTAATTAAGGATATTTTGCTAAAGCATGCCTCACTAATATTTGAATAAATAATAATAATAAAAAAGACTTACTTTAAATAATGAGAAAAATCGAGTACGAGTATCGCCATAAAGGATTGGATCCACCTAGATCAACATATTATTCATTATCAACTTTTGCTATTCTATTGTGTAGAATTAAAGCAAGAACGGGGGATTGAATTTTACTTAGCAAAGTTACATAAAAGTAATACTTACACGCCACCCAGCTTGTATTTGGTCACGACCATTTTGTACCTTCACGATCGATGAACTCCACTGGTTCGGAAGAACCTTTGGATTATAAATACTACTTGTCGTTCCAGCTCCCGAAATCTTGAGATTTGGGTCATTTATTGTTTGTTCTAGAGCAAACTAAATGTTCAAATAAGTATAAGTAACACAAATCAATATGCTCCCATTGGTTGATAATAAAAATATACCTTTTTTGAAAAAAGTTACAAGTTCTTAACGAGGTATCAAAATAAAAATATCCCATAAATTCGAAATCTTAAAATAAATTTATAAAATAAGATGGAAATCATGAGTTGCCATAAGAGATCCAAAAGGATGGTAACAATAGTGGAGTTCCCACTTGGATCATGTTTAATTTGTTGCTATTGCATATAATTATTTCAATTTCCATCTTAGTGAATTAGGATAAACAAAAGTAGTTTATAAAGGAGCAGCTTACGTGAAAGACGCCACCAGCATAACTAGCATTAAATCTCCTTTCTCTAATGAGATCTTCTTTCGTAGTTCTTCTAATAGGAACTGTTCCCATTGGACAACCTCCATCTTTAAGCCCGATTTTTGAGGAGCTATTGGATGTTGACGATTTTTTGTTACGCTTTAATAGGGAGAGAGATGGTTTCATCTGTATGCATCATGTACAAAAATTCAAGAATCACAATCATTCTTACTTTCACAATACAAGTACTACAATAATGATAAATAATGATCTATATACGAAATAGACATACCTGAGGATGATAAGTATGATTCTTCAGTAAAGGATAATCAAATGCAGGTTGTTGATAGAAATCTACACAGTCATAAATATCTCCATATTCGGTCTACAAAATAATATAACTTGTTACTGATTTTAAGTATATAAATTATTGATGTGTAATATTTTTTTTAACTCTATGAATTACTTCGCGAACAGACCAAAACAAAGAATAAAAATCGACCTTAATAGTTTTTACTGCTGGCTTATTTAAAAGTTTTAGTTGCCTCTCCAATGCTTCATGGTCCTTCTTTGATAAGCCCTCAACTTCATCATGGTTGAGATAAACCATAATTGCAATCAAAAGCTGTATAACGCTTAGATGTATTCTTGTGGTCTTCATCCTATAAATAAATTTAAAATATATTATTAGATACAAATAAAATCATAAAATGAAATTAAACATAAAGGCAAATAAGAGAAATGGAAAACTATGATTATTGTGCAAATAGCTAGCACATGACATATAATCCATCCTTTCAAGGATGGAATTTAAGAAATAAGAGATCAACTACCTGATTTCTTTTTATGGATGGAATACTGAATGGTCCTACAAGAATAACACATGTTATATAGCAATCGTCGGGCATTTCATAATCTTGTAATTCTATTGTTTGCATTGATTTACTTTTATTAGATTGGATTGGTACAATCATTCTGTCCTTAAATTAACAGATATGAGATTTTCTCCTTAATTTCTTGCTACATATTTATGGCACAATTAGCTCGAAGAGGCAAACCTTGACGTTATGCAAATATAGCTATATATAACAAAAATCACCTATTCAATATTTAATATCAAACATATAAAGTGAATATGAAAAATCTTATTTTCTTAATGGCCTTCATTGAGTTTTAGATTATAGACTATATATAACGCATGCCTCTGGTGGTTCAAGTTTTATAATAAAAATATATTGTACTAAACAAATAACTTTCAAATGGATGAGTTTACACTTGATGCTGATTAAGTTTATTTTACACCATTTGGGCTAAAAATCAATTTTTATTAACTTATAAGATCATGATTATGATACTACCGAATAAAAATATTCTGCAACTGCAAAGATAAAGGGAAGAAAATCATAACGAATAAAAGGACAACAAAATAAACCAAGAAAATAAAATTTTGGATGGGAATGAATGGAATATTTAGCTTGTCTTTTATTGTTTATTTTGGTACTCCATTAATTTTCAGATACTATTAATCTTTGTGAGTGCAAGCGACAAATCAATGGAGATTCGTCACCTAGTAATACTACACCACGCTTATTCATCTTTTAATTTTGTAGTATTTATTTTCTGTATAACTTTTAATCACTGTCAGCAATCAAAATTAATGGAGATTGGAGAAATTGAATAATACTTTAAGATTGAATTCATAATAAAAATTGATGGTAGCAAGGTCATCTTAGTTCTGCTAAATTGTTATGTTCTTGTTACTTCATGCCAGAGAACCAGAATGATACCATAATATTCATTGTTGATTTCCTTTCAGTCTATCTGATTAATTCTTCTTACCAGTCTATCCTTAAATTAACAAATCTTGAATTTTTTCAATTCTTCTATTTTGTTAAGATTAGATCTTTCATACTATATGTTTTAGATGTTTGGATTCTTAATTATTATTCCTCTTTTAGAGGAGTTAAAATCTTATTCTTATGAGTAACTTATGCTAATATATTATGTGGATATCTTGGAGTAGTTAGTGGTATTATCATTTAATAAAGGATTAGAGATCTCAAACGTAACCTTCTCATTCAGCAAACATGGCAAGTTGGAGACGTTGACAAAAATTAAAAAAAATAAATCATATCAGCATTATGATTTGAGATTCTCATTTAGAATCATGCACCCTTCCCTTCTTAGTCTAGTTCTTCTTGTTATATCAAATATTGTAGCCTACTCAATGAAGCGGCAATCGTATCAATTTGGCTTTTTTCTTTTCTCCTTGGAGATCTATCTGACCATTACTAATTCTCTAGATTTTATGAGGCATATGAACTCATAGTTTTTTCACCAAATTAAGTATTTTATGAATTTATTTTTTATAATTGGTCTAATATCATTTGTTTTTACCCATATGTCATAAATGTTGTATGATGCATTTGGTTGAATATTGGTTTATTTTGCCAAAGGAATAGGATCGATTCCCACTTATTACTTTTTCTTTCTCTTTTCTTTAGTAGTGCATTAATATTCTAAAAATCTAAGATCTGCCAATACACACACACATACACATACATATATATAAGATCGGAAGAGCG